TTTTTTATTTTTTTTACAGAATAATATCATTTAGTAATATTCATAATACCTTAAGGTCATTTTTAACTGTAACAGCATTTTTATTCTATGTATAATGTACATTATTGCATAAATTAACGTCAGCATTTGAATTTCAAAGTATGAACTCTGCCTCGTCCAATCACTAAGCAGTGAAGTTAATTTCTGATTATCGCGGGAGCAGCCATCTTGACGAAGTTCACGGATCGTTAGTGGGTGCGCGCCCAATCTGCCAGCGCGTGGAGATGTGTGACGATTAGCAAAATCACGGACTGAAGCACTGGTAAGAGAAAAGTTCGTTTACTTTAAAGACTTTGACGTACAGACACCTGTATTTGACCGAGGGTATGTTGCCGTCGTAATAATGCCGAGGGGTGATTCAGTGTAAGTTAACTGTTAAAGGCTGAAAAAAACGAACGATTTTGTTAGTTCGCTAAAAATGATTAAGTGTAGTTTTTGCAGCAAAACACTAGAGACGTTGAGGGGTTATGTGTTGCACTGTAGAGTTCACCGAAACGAACCCCATTGTTTTTTCAAGTGTGTTAGTACTGACTGTAAGCGGACATTTTGTACTTACGCAGCTTTTAAAGCTCATTTTTATCGGGATCACAACCAGTCCGCATCCTCCGTTACTGCTAGAGCCGTTGTTGCCGATTTTAAATGTGCCATTTAGTTGTGTGACCGCAGGTTTCACACAGCAAAATAATTAATATGCCACTTAAAAGACCATGTAGTGGAGGGGCGACCCGTAGCGTGTCCAGTAACGGGTTGTAAAAATACGTTTACGGTTAAATCATCGTTTACTGCTCATATGTTCAGAAAACATCGAGCATCTTCGGATTGTAGCATAAGTGACATTTACAGGGAAACTGTTTCTCAGTCATCTACTATCTTTGCATGTGAAGATGTTTCCCAAAGCTCAAATGATGCAACAACACCTGAAACCATTGACTTGCCACACAATTTCAATGAGTCCTTTCTTAGGAATGTGTGTCTGTTGTACCTAAAATTGCAAGGACAGTTCCTCCTTCCAGCTTCACCTGTACAGACTATTGTTGAAGAGATGCAAAATGCGCATGAGTTTGGACAGGATTACACTTTAAGTAAACTGTTCACTTTTAAAAAATGAAATGTGTCTAACAGATGAAGTTGTTAGTAAAGTCTGTGATTGTGTAAA